GGGTTAAACCAGAGAGTAAAATCATAGTTAAATGTTGTTCTTTATATTGGGGAAATGAAAAACAGTAAAAGTAGTGTTTAACTCGTGGCTTTCTTTTGTTTTTTTCCTCAATTTGTTATAGAAACCCATTAGAGCATATTTGGTCTTTTCCATTAGTAGATGTGTTATGAATAAACATTAGGCCGGTAGATTTTTAACATGCTGTTATGATTAGTGTGAAATATTGTTATTTTAATAAGATGTTAATGGAAGTTTCCATGGGAAGAATATGTTAGGCATAAATATCTCCATACAACCCTTTGTCAAATAGAAACAATTATCATATCAAATTAAAACAAATGGAAACCACAGTTGACAACAAATAAAATAACACATTCTACTAAAAGACAAAACAAAAAAATATAATAGTGCATTATAAACACAAACAGCAGAAAAAAATACCAAACGGCTACATAAGAAAGTAAAGCATCACTAAGCTTCGTAATGGCATATACTTTACGGGGTGTTTTAAGCACCATTGCCACTATAGCTCAATATATCCCAATTCTAGAATTTAATTGTAGATCATGCATACAAGTATTTTTGAGTTGGCCTAGGTGTTTATTACGAGTAGATAATTGTTTTGATTGCTATGTAACATTCTAATAAAAAATTAAAAAAAGAAGGAAGATAAATAAAATAGTCACTTGCATAAGTTATTTAGAGCAACACTATTGACTTTCTGACTATTGTATGGAAATTATTTAACTTATACAGTATGTTCAATATGTGGATGTTTAGCATTGTTATAAATAATAATGTTTACCTTTATCTTAGTGTTTCATTCATATCATAATAGTTTTCATTCATTCTGTTTAGAAGATAACTATTTGTATTCTTTGAAGTAAGTATCAAACCCTAGATGAGGGGGCAGGTACACAAAACACGTTAGACTGCTCATTTGTTTTGTATATTTTATACATCCTTCTAACGCATTGTAAATCAATGATACACAATCAATAAAGTACACGGTGACAAGAGAATGCATAGCAATACTTTGAAAACTTACAAAATGCAGTGTAGTGTTAAGATTTTTCTCTACAGTAATCCACTTAGGACTTCAACTATATCATAGGTCAGTGGAACACTGAAGCAGGAAACCAATATAAATATGTGAAACTTAAAGATCATTCATTGGTTTATATTATATCATATTATATATTATATAGTATCAATGTATTTTGGTAAACTCATATATCAGGGTAGTATAAATTAAGCAATGATATTTTAACTAAGTCATATGGATGGTGGACTATAAAGGCATAGAATAACAAATAAAGTTAATAAACATCATGTAAAGAACCAAATTGTTAAATAGTAACTTACTGAACCAAAATGTATTTCAGGAGATGATTTGTGCAAATAACCACACATATCAATTCATCATGAGAATATAGAACACACAGTTCAGCTGGTGCTGTTTCTGTGTGCATGGATCAAGGAGGTTGTTTTTTGCAAAGAAAGGTCTTATAAACTTAGAGTTTCAAGAACAAAGGAGATCATGTGTAGATTCATTTATAATAATGAATAAAGACTGGAGCAAGTGAAATAACAAGGTCAGTGAATACTGAGCACAGGGTAAACTTATTTGCAATGAAAACATGTTAGGCATGAAATGCACTTAAAAACATGATTAACAAATGAATCTAGAATATTAAAATACAATGAGCATGTGTTATAGGAAGAGTTCACTAAAAGTTCATTGCCAGGGACCTGTAACTGCAGCGAATATATTAGTATTCATCTGATACCAACTTTGACTGCAAATGTGCAATAATGTAGGTGGTCATATGCAGCTGTTGTGGCAGGAATAATACATATCCTGAAGTTTGACTATAGGATACCTTGAGGAAAATATTGTACAGCCAATGTATTACATAATATTCTGGTGAAACAAGCACTGGGGTCTGGAATCAGTAAAGGTATACTTAGTAAAAGTATTTAAATGGTATTTGAGGGGAATTTTAATGCATTCATTCACTATACATATTTTTTCTCCTTGTTGCAGAAACTAATTTAAACACTACATACATGCATTGATGAACTACATTAAAGTATTTGCAAGTATGTGCACTAAAACACACATGTGCGCCTACTCAGGGGTGTACCTAGAGCATTTGGCACCCGGGGCGGGTCCTATTTTTGGCACCCCCTCTTACCCCTCCCCCCCCCCTCAACTTTAAATATAAAAACAACCAAAAATTATTTTTTTATGTATTTAGCACTAAGCAGTGTTTTTGTATTTGAATGTATGCATGTTTTTGTATGGAGTATATGTGAGTGAATGTAGCGGTGTGTTTGTATGTAGTGTTGGCGTTTGAATGCAAGCATACATTTGTGTGTTGTGTGGTATTTGAATGCAGTGGTATGGTTATATATAATGGTGGCGTTTGTATGTAGTGTTGACGTTAAAAATGCATGAGTGTATTTGTGTGTAGTGTTGGCGAGATTTTTAGATGTCTGCACATATACACATACACGGACATACACACATGCAGATACATATACACACAAACACAGTCACACACAGATACACATTGACACACATGCAGACATTGTGGCGACTCTAGGAACAATATATATGGGGGGGCACATACGATACCACAGTCAAAACAGGAGGGGGAGGGGGAGCAGTAAAAATTCTCACTAGGGGATGGGGTAATATGCTGCCATTGGCTGTCTGATGCCAGCATGCTGTGTTCTGCATGCTGGCATCTGACTACACATTTGCATATAATTCACATTAGCCACCCAGATTTCTTGTTGTGGGCTGGCTGACACCTCTTAATTTCAATCTTTGTTTAGCAGATAACTCCTCTATTTGCTATCCTTTGTGGGATTGCCATATTTAAGGACAGCAAATGCAGGGAATGATCTACTAAACTGCCAAAGGATTAAAAAAAAGCCCTTTTCTTATTTTCAGTTGTTTAGTAGATAGATTTCCCTTATTTGTTATCCTTATGTGGGATTGCAATATTTAAGGACAGGAAATAAGGGAGCTATCTACTAAACACATATGCAAAGATACACACAATTACACACTTAATCACAGAAATACACAAACACAATCACTGACCCACACACATACAATCACAGACACACAATCACACACACACACAAACATTACATACATATACACATTTAATAATTAAGAGGTCCACCCAGCCTCCCTACCTTGCGCTAGAAGGGCTGGAGTGGATTCTCAGTCCCTGGTGGTCAGTGGTCGCTGCTCTGATCTCTTTGCTTTTTCTGCACAGGTCCATCGCACACCCTGTAATGACGCAGAGGCCGCAATGACATCATATCCTGGCTCCCGACTCACTGCAGGGCGAAGACCGTCAGACACAGTCAGATGCACACAGTCCCACACACAGTCACTCACAGACATTTTAAAACACGCAGGCAATCACACATAGTCACACATACACACAACACAGTCACAGACAGTCACACACACACACACACACAATCACAGGCAGAAAGTCACACACACACAGTCACAGACAGTCACTCACACACAAAACCACAATCACAGGCAGACAGTCACACTCACACACACACACAGTCACACAGACAATCACAGGCAGACAGTGACACACACACAGTGACACACACACAGTCACACATACACACAACACAATCACAGACAGTCACACACACACAATCAGTCAGTCACACACACACACACAGGCAGACAATCACACACACAGAGTCACACAGACAATCACAGGCAGACAATAACACACACAGTCACACAGACAATCATAGGCAGACAATCAAGGGCAGTCACACACACACACAGGCAGACAATAACACACACAGTCACACACACACACACACAGGGCAGACAATCACACAGAGTCACACAGACAATCACAGCAGACAGGCAGACAATCACACACACAGTCACGCAGACAATCACAGGCAGACAGTCACACACATACAGGCAGACAATCACACACACAGTCAAAGACAGTCACAATCACAGTTACACACAGCACACACACAGTCAAAGACAGTCACAATCACAGTTACACACAGCACACACTCTCTCACTTACAGTAAGCTTGGGCTGGAGGAGGAGTGGATTCAGTCCTGCTGTGTTGTAGTTGGGGAAGCAGGGACTCCTTCCTGCTTCCCCTCTGTGTGCAGCAGTATGAGGCTGCATTTAGCTCCGCCCCCACATCCAGATGACTCCTCCCCCACGACCGATCTGGCTTTGCCCCAAAATCTCCGTGCAGGTTTCCTGCTTGCTCCCAGCCCCTGCGTGTGAGCTGTGTCGGCTGCCCAGCGCCCCTGCTGATATGGCACCCGGTGCAGACACACAGCTCACTGAACTCCAAGCCTGGCCACCCCTGGTGGCACCCCCCTACCAAATGGCACCTGAGGCGGACCGCCCCCCCCCGCTCCCTCCATGCGCCACTGCGCCTACTCATTTCTTCTCTACACAGATAAATTTATACACACGTGCATACACAAATGCATACACACACTACATACAGCAATATTCATAGCAAGAGTTATACATTGGATAGTATGAAATGGGTACAGTGGACAAACCAATGGTTATGCCCAAAAGAGGTGGTGTCAACTGGAAAGGAGACTAAGCCATTCACAGGAGAGGCATTCCAGTCTATTGGGTTGGCCACACTCGGGGCAGACCATACAGAGAGGTAGAGCTGAGGCTCTCTCTGCGTGATCCTAGTGCTCTCAGCACAACAATGTAAAATGTGTGAATGCGTGCAAAAGATTTCATTATGCATGCTCACAATGAGTAGATTATTATAGGATCAGAAGAGTGCTTGAGAATAATTTTTAAAAAACATTTTATTTTAAGCAGTTGCATCGCAAGATATTTCACTTTTAGTTGGCCTTTTTTGGGGGGTTTTATTTTTATTGGGCTGGCTAGGACCTCTATCCTCCCACGGATTAGGGCAGACATGCCATTATTTGGGGGTGGACAATGGCTTATTTAAATAATGTAGGGGGGAGGAAGACCCCACATGGAATCAAGGTCATGCGAGTGACGTGTGCAGTTTGGAGGAAGAGGCGGTGGTCGCACAAAGGCACCAGCACAGCATAAGAGAGAGCAGGGTGCAAAAGCGCTCGTCGGCATGTATTAGCTCTAGAATTACCACAGTTATCCAAGTAACAAATGGAGCGATCAAAGGAACCATAACTGATTTTACGAGCTATTCGCAGCTTCATGCCGATGACGCGGTTCTCAGCCTTACTATCCCGCTTCTATGTCTCCTTGAAAAAATGCTTTGGGCGATGATGGAAGAGGATATGGCACAGGAGGAAGAGGAGGAGGAAGAGGGGTCATTTCCACAGTTATCAGACCAGTCATTCACAAGTGGCTCGGAGGGTGGGTTCCTGCACCAGCATAGGCCAGGTACACAATTGTTCAGCATCTCCACACTGTCCCATGGAAGCGTTCAGCTGTCCATCTCCCAAACACTGGAGAGAAAGAGGAAGTATCCCCCTAACCACCCGTGATCCCTGGCCCTGAATGCCAGCATTTCAAAATTCCTGGCCTTTGAAATGCTGTCATTCCGTCTGGTGGAGATGGACAGTTTTAAAATCCTGATGGCGTTATTGGACTGCAAGAAATGCACAGCAGGCCGCAAATGTTTCTTTTTTTATTTGTCCCAATATTTTTGGGGCTACACCAATAAAAAAAAAAGAAAAAACAGTGTTGGCTACCTCCTCTGCCTCCACGGCCGCTTCCACCTAGACCGCCACGTTCACCGCCTCCTCAACCTCCTACTCTACATCCACCTCCTCCTCCTAGAGCATGGTGCAAAAGCGGAGTGGCCATCCCCTAGACAGTATGCCTGCTACTGCCCACCGCACCCAGGGACCGAGCACACCAAAGCCAGCTCCAAGGATTTCCCTGGCGTGGCAGTTCTTCAGACAATATGCTGATGACAAAACACTAGTGGTTTGCATGCTGTGCAATCAGAACCTGAAGCGAGACATAAACGTTCTAAACCTGAGCACAACCTGCATGACCAGGCATCTACATGCAAAGCACAAGCTGCAGTGGAGTAATCACCTCAAAAACCAAGAAAGGTCTCAGGCTCCTCCTGCTTCCTCTTCTGCGGCTGTCTCGGCCTCTTCCTCCACCTCTGGAGTGACAGTGGCACCTGCCACCCTGCAAACAGAGGATGTGGCAGCAATGCCACCATGTCCGCCACCGTCCCCAAGCATCTCCACACTGTCCCATGGAAGCGTTCAGCTGTCTATCTTCCAAACACTGGAGAGAAAGAGGAAGTACCCCCCTACCCACCTGCGATCCCTGGCCCTGAATGCCAGCATTTCAAAATTCCTGGCCTTTGAAATGCTGTCATTCCGTCTGGTGGATACGGACAGTTTTAAAAACCTGATGGCGTTATTGGACTGCAAGAAATGTCCTGCAGGCCACAAAGGTTTCTTTTTTTATATGTCTTAATATTTTAGGGGCTACCCCAATTAAAAAACAAAACAAAAAAAAAACAGTGTTGGTTGCCTCCTCCTCCTCCACCGCCACTTTCACCTACACCGCCACGGTCACCGCCTCCTCAACCTATGGGTCACTTAGTATAAACTATGTACACAATAGCAGAGGCTTGTGAAGGCCTTTTCTCCATGCATCAGGAGTTGAGCTCAGTTTGAGCAATGAAAGAGAATACCCTGCAATCCAACCCTCTCTCAAATGGATAATTCTGGTAAACCTCCTAACAGCCATGCTTTAGATTTTGATTTATGTTCTTTGATCTTGATTTCCCTATCCACATTTGTTTGCAGGGCACTACTCTTACCCCCATTTTACTTCCTTTTGCAACCCTCTAGCCCTTTCCAGGACTTTTTTAGAGGCATTTTAGTGCCCAAAAGTTTGGGTCCCTATTGACTTCAATGGGGTTCCAGTTCGAGGGTCAAGTTCGGGTCAAGTTCGAGCCCGAACTCAAACTTTTTGATGAAGTTCAGCCGAACTCGGCGAACCCAACCATCCAGGTTGCTTCCTTTTTACTTCCTTTTTTAGACCTCTAGCCCTTTCCAGGACTTTTTAAAAGGTATTTTAGTGCCCAAAAGTTCGGGTCCCCATTGACTTCAATGGGGTTCGGGGTCAAGTTCGGGTCAAGTTCGAGCCCGAACTCAAACTTTTTGACGAAGTTCGGCCGAACTTGGCGAACCTGAACATCCAGGTGTCCGCTCAACTCTAGGCATAACATGTAACACTAAAATTGAAATACCATCAATGTTACTATGGTATATGGCAATAAACATTTTTATTGTTGCACAATGTTGTATTATAGTATCTTCTTGTATAAATGCACATTATTTTCGTCAGCAAAAACATTTTTCAACTTTCAGGTTTCAAAAATTAAGGGTGTGCATAAGATTTGATGATTCATTAGATTCAAGTAAATACAATATTTATTGAGCTAGATGAGTTTACATCTTCTTTGCCATGATGTTTTATTCCTGTGCCAGCAGCTCTTCACACTGAAATCTCATGACATCAGCCAAGTTAGCAAGCACATCTTTTTCCTAACAAATAAGAAATAAATATTCTGCTGTCAAGGTGGATGAATACACAAGTCCCAAATATGACAGTGGTTAAGAATGGGGTAGACAATAATCTTCTAATGGACAACATAATAGCTTTGGTGACAATTCAATGACGTCCTTTGCTAAAACCTACGCTAGGTATACAAAACACTCAATGGTGTCTCTCGCGGTTGGTGAATGGTAGGTGGGGTGCACGATTTTTATTATTTTTGTATTTCTATTAGTTTTTTTATGCTGTTGTTTTGATGCCTTAACCTGGAATATGATTTGAGTACTAGACTCATTGTTTCACTCTACTACTGTATGACTGAATGCTTACCGAACTGAAAAATAAAGAATTGAAAAAAAGGGAACTGAATAAAATAATAAAAGCAAAAAATATAAACAAGTTATACTGACGAGGAATAACTTGGACATTTCTGTTGAATTGAAGTACCTATGTTTACTTGTCAATTAACATAGAATCCAAGTTCTGACAAACAAAACAGTCTTATATTTCTCCTGTAAGGAGCCTTTGTTTGCAGGTTTTGTGTACACTGTAAGCCAAATAAAGGAACCCTTTCTACAGGAACCACAGCAAACACATATCTGGTGGCAGTGAATTTACAAATTGAGATCAGCATGCAGAATACCACTATCCATATTATTATATTCTTTAAGAATCTTAGGTTATGATTGTATTTTGTTTCGGTAAAGTCTATGGAATAGCATTTAGATTCTGCATGAACAATGTCAGATCTAAAAAAATTCATGCTAAGTACACTATGATGCAGTGGTCTCCTCAGGGTTTGCCCTCAGTTGGCTGTCTTGTGTGATTACATTCACATCATGATGACCTGACAGTTATTTTGGTTGACCCGTCCCCCATTCCAGGCGTGCCAGACCCCTTTGAGTGGCATCAGTGATGAGATTAGCATCATTTGTATGCCCACTTCTGCAAGGCCCTTTAATGTCCCAATTCGAAGACTGACTGTGATTATGTGCATGCAGTTCAGCCAATAATACATCAGTGTGATTTGAGCCACTGATGTAACTTTGCCTATAATCAATCACGGTCCTCTATCAAATGGACTTAGTGAACACTGACATTCATTTGTTTAAAATCTTTATATAGTATTTCATTCATAATATACCATCTCATTTTTTTAAATTCATTTATGGTAGTAACAACACAAACATCTGGAATAATTCTGTATAAAAGATGTATTGATATATAATAATTTCTGAAGCTGATGAACTATGACCAAGACAAGCAAGTAAGACATATGATATGCCATCAAGAGTAGCATACATAACCCCTTAATTCTAAACACTAAAATAACTCAAACAAAAAGAGTAGATGAATATTGATTATTCACTAACAACTGCTTAAAGGGGAAGTATACAGATTAAACCACTACTGTGTGTAAGGTGCTATAATAATATTGACAGAGGTCAACATATCCAGTCACCCACTAGTCACTGGTGAGTGAAAATTCACCCCCTGCTGAGTGGTCTTATAGTGACAAGTAACTTTTAGGCCTTTTAGAAGTGTAGGACATACCATTTGGACACCTGATAATGATAGTTAGGATGATAATAATAATCATAATAGTAATAATAATAATAATAATAATAATAATAATGATGATAATACATTCTTTACTAAACATGTCCCAACTTCAGTGTTTTTATTTGCTGTGGTTAAATTTTTTTAATTGCTTCTTAATGTTAATGTATTAGTTTGTCCACTTATATTCCAATCAGTGATTTTCACACATTAGCAGATGCTGTTTGCTTGCATTAAAGTAATATTCAACTGTGATTCTAAATACTCGGGACAACTTGGCAAATAAGCCATAATGTTGACAGTGACAATGTGAAAAAAACATCCCAAAACATTATTTGCTTTGCATATGCGAGACAATTAAATGGAAGTGCTTTTGAATATGCTGACAGTTTCCTGAAATACAAAATCCATAAAAATTTCATAATTCAATATAGGACTATTCATATTCAAACCCTTTTAAGATGACATCAAATCATCCTTCTATGAAGACTTTTTAATAAATTCATATTAAATGGAGAAGATTAAAATTTGCAGAAACTTGGCAAACTCTCTGATGCATAAATAGAACATAAATGGTAGGAAAATGTGCAAAATGGATACATCACATTATGACGTTTAGACTGGTTCCTTTCTAACATACTCGAGAGCTTCATTTAACCAATAATCATAATATTTTGAAAAGCAATGGGGCAATGCTGCAAAGTATTCTGACAAATTGATTTTAAGTGAAGCATACTTAAAGAGGCTACTTCAACTTTCTTTCTGTACAGAAATGACCAATGTGGTATCATTATATAAAATTTATATTATACTCTGGCCCTTTCTGTATTAATTTTCAGTTTTCTAGGAGATAAGTGTATAAAACTCTCATTCTAAAGACTTGACATGCCCTTATGGCATAAAGGTTTTGAATGGTACCTAGTAAAAATATTTTGAAACACCTTGTCAATTTAATTAGAAGCTTCAAATTAAGCCTACCAAGAGCTACGTACACATTTTTTTCTGCTTGTTTTAAAACGATTTTTTTAGACTAGCAAAGAAAATAACATCAGTATCATCCATTATAGTCACTTAACTTC